AGCCCAGCTGACTAATGTTATGTAATGGGTTGTCATGCTGCCAGGTGACATGAGACTGGAGGATCATGGGAGAATTACAGACCAGAATCAACATAAACGGAGTCTGTTCTAAGAGTATATTATCCATCAACATGTAATGAGTTAAAAGGGAGACGGTGCAACTGGTGTTTTAGTGTCTCTTACAACAGAAATATATCATGAGGTAGTATTATGATTAAGATATATTAAGTATCAATATACTGCTGTGTTATTATTACTTAACATTCCATTTGTTAGCAATAATAGCAATGCCATTAAGAGCCCATATTACACTATTTTCTGATCTATGTTATAATCTTGTTTCCTTATCACATACCTGGTGTTGTGTTTTGTTTCATTTACGCAAACCCTGCACATACCGTAGGTTGAATTCTTCTCTCAAACAGAAAACACACTGTTCCACCTTGTGAGGTCATATGGCGATACAGGAAGTTCTCCACTGTCTTTTTAAACTGCATATTGTACATCTTTACTAGAATCATTTGCTTAATTTCATCCCTGGAATTTCCAATCTCTACTGAATTTAAGAAATTTATCTTAACTTGAAAACTACCACTTCATGCCAATAAGTTGAACAGAGCATTTTGAACTTTGGAGATGTAGACAGACTAATAATAATTATTTGAGTTACTCAAACATGTGTACATTAAACAAAGCACAACTCCTGTTATGTGTTTTGATGAGTTAACAGTGTTCTAACGTGGCTTAAAGTTCACACGTCACGTCAATATAGGACCTTTAAGTTCTCATCTACCAGCACGTGTGAAATTATACACACGTCAAAGTATATATTCCCGTGGAGCAGCTTGTGTGAAATTATATACACGTCAAAATAGTATGCTTGACAGGTTTGCAGCTGTCATTTGGACTTAAAAATTGAGACCACAAGTTGAAAATACTGAAAACAGATTTATGAACAAAAACAAACATTACTCTGACACTCCTGATAGTGAATCATGACTCAAATGTGACATGGGATTGCGGACAAGACCTCGACATTTCCCATTTAGACTGATAAAAACTTGCTGATGGTGGAGAGTAGACCCACTGAACTGAACAGGTTGGCAGGCTGCCACTAATGCATACAATTGTTGTGCCCTTGGGCAAAGTCCAGTGCCTCCAGTGTCTGTGTACACAACATGCGTGAGTGTTCATTTTCCATTTTCACTTGGATATGTCATATATTTTATAGGTATTATATGCTATGTGAAAAGTACTTTCTTGACACAACACTACCTATGAGTATAACACTTCTTGTCACAGAATGCAAAAAATAAACTGTGAAACTTATTCATTCACAGTGCATTTATTGATGTAATGAAAGGTCAGAGCAGTAAATATGTAGTACAAGTTTCTCCACAGAAAAGGTCAACATCCACACATTTACATCTTCAAATATAAAGGTGTTGATAAAGAGAAAAAGCGATTCCTGGAAAATGTCTACCTGATATTTTCCTGCGCACAACCGAGGCATCAATTATAAAACCTAAAAACATACAGTAATTGCAATTCTTAAGGTCCTTTCAGGTCAAGAAGTATCATTTCCATATGCTTTTAAAGCAATTACATCATAAGACTAACTAAGTTCATCATCAACATTAGCAGTAAAATACAAAACTATAAAATGTCACCATTCTCAATACATTATGCTTCCTGCAGTCCATACAATTTATTATTATTATATGCAAGTTTACAGTGAATACAATACAGCACAATTAACTGATGGTGACACACTTGGTTACTAGTAGTATCTAAAATGTGCTTGTTCTTGAGTCTGCTCTATATAATCTATGACACTCAAGAAACACTGTGTTATAATCTTTTAAGGCGCAATATTGGTGTAAAACAACAAAATAAAACAATCAAGTCAGCTGACTTACACGTTAGAAAACTCTGGTACCCAGGGAAAGCTGCACATCCTGCTAAATCCTACATATATCAGTGATTAAGAAATTCAAATTGGAGAATGAAGTAAGTATAGAGTAGTAGACGTGTACTGGTGGTGGTGAAAATGGGTTGATCGAAGCAATCTTGAATACAGGAGTATTCGAGATTACTCAAATAAGCATGAATCACACTAAATACATGTTCTAAAGGGGAAATGAGAAGAGGTGGAAACAACTATAACACAGTTAAAAGCTCTAAAATGTTGATTTTGCATAATAGGTCCGCTTTAACAAAAAAACAACAACAAAAAAGCACATTTCACAAAAACCCAGGACTTCCTTTTGTTTTGGGAGAGAGAGAAGACTCAGCAGCTAGCAGCCTGGTCCAAGCCCCACTCCAGTCCAATCGTGCAGTCTCTCTCTTCCATTTCTTATCATTTTATTAGGTCCGACATAATACTCAGGAACAGCACTTTCATTTCTTTAAAAGTCTTCAGCCAGCAGTCATAACAACACTCAGGAGAACCACTTATTTCAAGTTTTTTTCTCATGTTTAAAGCAGTTTTTCCTTGATCCATTATATAGTTATTTTCTTCTAGACTAGAAGTTGTGGCAGTTTTCATAACCATAAAAGAGTCCCAAGAATCTAGAGTGAAACATATTGTAAACTTCTGAAGAGAGTGAAAACTATTAGAATTTAAATATTCCGTTTCTCAGCATGCACCTGATAAGTAGGTGATAATTCTTGTTTTAGCAAGGGGAATATTTTGTCCTACTTGTGTTGAGTATGCTAATGGCCTTAAGTAACTTGGAACTACACTGTGATTGCTAGGCATTTTACAAAATATTGAAACCTGATGCTTTTTATGCCTGCTTCCAACAATCACATGAATAATACTAAATGAATTCTGCTACTTGTTCCTTCTAGTGAATAAAATCTGAAGTAGTCTGAACAAGAAACCTTCATCTCACGTGCTTTGAACCTTGTGTGATTATGTTGACATAACTTCTGTAATTACACACATGAGCACTTCATGCCAAGATATTTCTGACAGTTTAACAGAAAATTTTAGCATAAAATTCTCTCCAACTCAACTAGAAAATTCTGGCTTTTGAAGCTGCACTGTGTAACTTTTTGGTTGGGGGTTCATCACCTTCTTGTTTCTATGGATATATCATTGCTCTGCTTGGAATGTTCCACAGAATGACATTAACCAGCTCTATATTACATTTATTCAATCATAACTCAAAAATACCTAGAAAAATACTCATTCTGACTGTGAGCGTGGTTGCCTCTCCACTGATCTGACCTGTCACTTGTTTTGGCTCCCTGAAGATAAAAACGTTTAATCCTATACTGTGAAACATTCCAGACAAAACACTGACATCTCTATGGGAAAAAAGCATTTGACGGATCCTCCACCAGAAAAGTTACACAATGAACATTTCTTTCACAGCTTTCTGTAGCTAGAATTGATCGAGTTGTTCATGCTGGTTAAAATGTGAAGATATCAAAACCTGATACATGGGACCATATATATAGTTGGTATCCAAGTCTCATGATATAATATTGTCACGGTATGAACCTTACAGTACGATATTTATTGTGATATCATGGGAAAGCTCACAATATGTTGGGGAGCTCACAATTAGGGATGTAACAATATCCAAATCTCAATATCCAAATCAATATCCAAATACATTCTTTTTTCCTCATAAAATTCCTTGACAAGACTTAATCCAAAGAACTAAGATTTAAAAGTGCTTAGAATTGTTGCTTCTCCTTGTAGTCTGCACTGAAATGGAGCAAAGGATCATGGCCTATGTAGTTCCCGCTGTCTTTTTTTTTTTTTAGCTATTGTTGCACCATAACTCTTAATTTAAGCAAAGAGACATGTCCACGATATTATTGTGAGAACTTTGACAATACAGTATCAATATATTTTGGTTATTAGATCCCTAACAGTTGGTGGTTGTAATGGTTGTAATTCTTGGTAAAGAGATCATATTATTTATTTTCAGCACATTATAATGTTTAAAAACATGAGTGAATTCAATTTTTTTTACACATTTTTTTCAGCAAATATATCATTTTCAAACCAAAAAAGTTATCAATTCACTAAATATAATACCTATTGTACCTATTGTAATCAAAGTGCTATTCATTTCAAGTATACCAAGGTTTAAAGCTACCACTTGTCCGTTATTATTCAGAATAGTGACATCCTGCCATGAAATAAAATGTAAACAAATGGCTGCTTGTGTGTCAGCTGTCACATGTGAGCAGACCCAATCATGTTCTGTCTCAGGGGGTTGATTACTGTTTACTCCATGTCAAAGTCTCAAGGTGGGACAGTGGTGCAGCCATTGTTTGCTGTATGCACATTTGCCATATACCCTCAGCCTGACATCACCTCCTGTACACTTGATTACACAGTGCTGGCTTTAGACTTACCGTTATAGAACATTAAGTAAATCACCAAGGAAATGGGGCAAACCATGTCAAGGGCTTTTCATGTGCTGATTACGTTGAGAAAATAGAAATGTAATGTGTACAAGCTATAGAATACATGTGCTCATAAATAAGCCATTCAGGAACTAAAAACATTCTTCTTTGTGGGGAGTATAATTTATTTCCTACATTATAGTGCTTGATTTGTAATATGTGTTTTTTATGCCAGATGACTTACTGGAAGAACTATCCATTTTTGCACAGAGTTGTACATTACTGTATATTATTTCCTTTTTATTACCATATTATTACCTTTTCCTGTTTTTAAAATGTCTTTACACAATTTTGGAGTCAATCATTCATAATTTTAAGATTTTAAAGTGCTTAATAACCAGTGTCTGGAGCAAAGTGTCATTGTATATGTATTTCCCTCTGGTTATAAGGTACTGCAACAAAACAATGCATTTAAACAAAGGAGCTTATTGATATGCAGCATTATTGTGTGACTTTTAAATGATAAAATATCACAATACGTTGGTTTCGAGTCATTGTAGATTGTTTTAGACCAAACCAACTTTAACTTTCATTTAAAACTGAACTTTGTATTTCTGTGTCATCTCCAGGTCCAGTGGCAGTGATCAGCGGTGAGGAAGACTCTGCCAGTCCCCTTCATCATGTGAACCATGGGATTATAACGCCCTGTACGCTGGACGCAGGCCCCGACGCTGTGGTCATCGGGATGACCAGGATTCCTGTAGTGGAAAACCCACAGTATTTCAGGCATGGGCACAACTGCAACAAGCCGACTACTAGTAAGTGTATTTTTAGTAACAAAGTTGGCTATTGGTTTGTGGAATCACCAGTAAAAGTCCCACAGTATAACAAACTCCACAGGGATAACAGACTACAGCCCTTTGTAGGTTTTGATTTTGTCTTCTTTTTTAGAAGCCATTTTTCTATGAACTCTATGGGCAGAAAATCTCCAAATAACTATAATGTTTGGTTAGCATTAGCATTCTGCCCACATTCTCTGCATTCTAAGTAGTCAGTGATGAGGTAATTAGAATCTTGTTGATTGACAACCACTCCACTAACTAATAATATCCTCTTTATATGCCTTTATCTGTTTAAATCCTGTGGCTGACACATAATGGAATTCCAGCCATATTGTTAAGCCCAAACACTATTATCATAAACAATGTATAGTTATATGCAATATTAAAGTGACTACAACATCTGGCCAGAGAGGCACAAATCCACCACGGTGTCCTTACCACACACCTATTGTAATTTTCTGTTGATTATTTTAATAAGAAATGCCAGAGGCGTAATGTAATGCCTGTGTAGCAACTGCAGTCTTATGGCTTAGCATCTGTTAGCGCACTTTGAGTTTATTCTTCCTATAGACCTCAAAGCGGCCTCGTGCGTGTGCCTTTTGCTCTCCCTGGGGACCCATGTTCCAGGTTGGGCAAAGACAGGACCACTTTAAGGCCTAATTACTCACAATTACATCAACTGCTCAAGAGAATCCACACACAAAACAAAAGTGCCTGCAGCGGGTTTGTGGTTGGCGCCGGCTGCTCTGCTTCCAGATGAAACCCAAGACAAAACGGTTCTGTCTGGGAACGGCTCCACTTGTGCTTAAATGGAAGCGCGGCACAGCTGTGGAGTGTATCCGCCAACATGGCTTCCTTCAGCTTACATTGTTTACTTTCAAAATGGCCGACGGTCTGAAGACAGAGGTTGAGAAATCTGTTGCGGAGACAGGAAATCCCGTTTAGAGGCGATGAGGGTTCTTATGTATTATGAATGACATGAATTCTTAATGCTCGGCCGTTCACTGATTTATAACTTCTTGTGGCGTGCACGGGAGATCTGATGGCGACCTAATGAATAAATGACAGGAGGAGCAAATGAAACTTCCTGCCTGGGTAATCTGCATTCCCAATTCAAAAGCCTTACGTGCGCACCCGCCTGGAATATTCTCATCTGAACAATGCGTGTCATATCTTACCATTTTTAATTCAATTCTCAGAGAATGCCTGAAAAACATGCAAGAGGAAATTAAGATAGAATTTATCACAAGGTCATACGGTGGTCACAGTTTTCCCCCACTGGCTGAAAAACAGAATGACTGGGGCAGGATTTGTGCTGATCATATGGTGAATATGAATGTGGTGTGTACCCCCTGGATACACTTGGAAGCAGAGGAAATGACTTTGTGGCTGTAGATGTTGAAAGCTCTACCTGTGCTTGTGCTGCACTGTGTCATGTAGAATATAGGCTAGAATCTATACGTGATCTTATCTGTAAATATTAATATCAGAGACACCGTGGATATAAAGCTATGAATAACCTTGCAGAAAAGTTTGATGCAAATGTGATAATTAGTTTTGACATAAACTCATAGTGGAATTACAATAAGAGCTTTATTTGTTCCCAAACTAAGTAGAGTTGAAACCAAACTCATTTGAAAGTTCATACAGTCAGGTTAAGGTTACGTTTACACTAAAACTAATCACTGTATCACCATATCAGAAACAGTTTGTGTCTAGACACGTCATTTCTGTGTCTGCAATCAGAGCCTCCCTATCCACAGTAAAGCTAAACTGCCTGAAAATGCAAGTCACATGACTAGGCTGGCATCATGTCGTCACAATGTCACAATTTCACGTGGCCGGTAAAAACAAGGAAGTGGATCATCGTGTCTGAAGTTGCAGCAGCTGATTGCAGGAGCCGTCTTTTCATGAAACAACGACAAGATTCAGTTGTTACTGAATGTAACACTGGATTTTAAGATGAGCATGGCTACGTGGTTTCCCGTTTGTCTATGGTCTGTTTAAACTGTTTTCTTCAATAGCGTCACATGACCGATGTCATGAATCCAGTGAATCAAGAAGGCGCAAGTCACAGTGATGTGGTCCAATAAGGACGGCAACTAGAGCTCCTACGTTAGCGTATCAATGTTTTCAGGCGTCCACATAGTGCTGGATCAGATGCGTATTCAGATGGATTCGTGGGAGCTGGCGGCACCAGATCGTTCCGTCTCTGGAGCCATTTTCCATCGGATTAATGTGGACGAACACTGCATCCGCAACGAAAACGACTCAAATACATACTAGTGTGGATGGAGCCTAAGTCATCTGTCATCATATTACCTGGTCTATTTTGGCACATTGTGCATTGTGCTATTGTAAGGAGTGGTAGATAGTGCAATTGGTTTAATCGGTTAACCAATGGTACCGCTCCATCCTCTTTGTTGTCTGGCCACCCAAAACTTTGGATGATTGATTGTCACATGTTACGGTCCCTTTCAAGACTATTCTACATTCAAGGAGAAAGTAGAAGGGAAACACTGGTCAAGTAAACCTCTTTGTAGCTGCTCCATAGACACTGGAGAACAATTGGTATTCAGGTGCATGTTGAAAATGTAAAAATTCTGCAGATATCTTCTTAGACAATGACTGTCTTCAAGGGGATAGTGGGTTAGATGTGTTATGTTACATATTATTCAATAAGCATAAGGCAGAGTCGTAAGATACAGTCCCACAAGACCCAAGGTAGTAAGGAAGCAGAGACACCAAACAGAGGATGTGTCCATATATACAGAGAAGAGATCCAGATAAGATAGACATTTCTCAATACATGGAGATGCATTTGAAAAGATGCTCCTATACAGGAGATCTAAACATTCATGGATCCTGTGCCAGATGACTTTTCACTCTGATCTTCTTCGTGAGTATAGAGTACTACAGTGATGGCAGCTGCCTACCTCTGTGAATGTAAATGAAAGAGTAGACTGGTCTCACAGAATATCTAACAAACTATTAGAACAAAAAAACAAATATTTCCACACTTCTTTCTATATGTACTGTGTATTCAATGTTTTGTCAGTGTAATTATGACGACTATTTGACACAGTGATAAACCCGACAGAATGGTGATACTGTCCATGCCTGTGTAGGTGTTTCAGAATGATAATAAATTAGGACATAGCGCTTACCACTAAAACATAATATTATATCTTTTGCATAAGAAAAAGCCCTCAAAATGTTGCATAGTATATAACAGGAATCTGAAACGCATGAATACTTTAAGGCCCTGTGCATGATTTTTTTCCAAGTATTTGAGCATAATTTATCTTGCCCAAGTACAGATATATTGCACAAGCAGCTCATGTGTTCAAAATAAGTCTGCTGTGTACTGTCTGCATCTAATTATAAGGTGTTTTAATGTCAAACTCACCGCAGTGAGTGATTAGGATGCTCCGATTGCATAAGGTCAGTGAGGAAAAACTTTAGACCATTGCAAACCATTTAAAACAAACTAGTTAGCTCACGCCTTTAAAACCCTATTAAATGAACATCCACTACCCTGGTCCCAGAGATAACACTGCTCTTACAAGAGGCTCTGTCTGCATCCATTGTTAAAGAAATCTCTGTTTGGTGTACCGCCGTCACTGCCCAGGGGTCACTGGGTCTATAGTGTTGGACGTGTAGGTCTAGTGTAGTGCCAGATTCACTGTGGCCGCTTTATTGATAGCCGGCCACCGATCTATAATGTATTCATTCATTTACTTGAAAGCTTCTTATCCTAGAGAGGAGCAGCCATTTTGTTGTTGCGGTTTGTGTCACCGTGCTCACTGACAGAACACCTACAGTTCACCTAATCCCAGTGTCCATCAGACCAAGGCTAATATAATGACTATCTTGCATGACTATCTGAGTACGGGCGTATGGGTCATTTATATTGTCGCCCTGAGCTCACAGTGAGGACTACAGTAGGTGCACGCTGCCATCCCCTATCCCTGCTATGGTTAAAATAATGCATGTAATAGCAATAGTGTTCCAGAGAATGTACTGTTTCAGAATGAGTAAAGCAGAGCCCCTATCCTGCACAATACAGCCTGCGGTGTTTGTTAGCAAGAAAACAGAAATGCCAGAAACAAAAGATTAAGGGCCAAGGAGCGATTAAATAAAATGTTGTGCATGTGGAACGTTGTGTAAAACAGTGTGTTTAGTTTTGATATTACATTTTTAGCAAAGTGAGGCCAAAAAGGGAATTAGTTTTATTACAGTTACACATCCGCACATTTATTTGAAATTTTGTAAAGGGTGGCTCATCTGAATTTGGTGATTGTAAAAAATAATGGAAATTGCATCACTTTTTTTTTTTTTTTTTTTCACGTTTGCGAGACATTTTTAACACACAAACCCTGTGTAGTTAGGGTGAATTCTCTCAAACAGAAAACTGTTCCAGCTCGTGATGTCACGTGGTACAGGAGGTGCTCCACTCTGTTTTTAAACCCCATACACCTTCACTAGAATCATTTGGATCATTTCAGCCCTGTATAATTTCCAATCACTACTGAAGGTGAAAGGTATAGTTTTAAAACTGAAACAGAGCAATTTGAGCTTTGGAGTTTTAGACAGACTAATAATAAAGGAATACTCAAACATGTATCAATGAAACAAAACACAACTCCGGGTAGATTTTTTATGATGTAACAACATTATAACATGGCTTAAAGCTCACAAGAGTCAATTTTGCGTATATTGAATCTTTAACCAACCACTAAAGCCCTTTATGGGAGCACATCAGGACCATTATTTGTACAAAATATGTTTTTTTATTATTGTTATTTTCTTGTAACCTATAGTGTGATTAAACAACAATGTTCAATGCATGCACCTATTTGATCGCAGTTATATCTTTACCATCGTGGATTTTCCGGTCACTACGAAACATAATAGAACAAGATGAGCCATTCTGAGATACAGAGATACAACCATTAGCTCTGTTGTCATTCTGA